GGCGCCTCAGGCCCCCGCATGCAGACGGCTGTGCGGCAGGTACTCACGGGGCCACTGAAGGACAGGAAGAGCTTGAGGACAACGTCCTCGGAGAAGGGCGGGTGCCGGGCCACCAGGTTGATGAAGCGCTTCAGCGCCCTCCTCCGGGCCTCGATGAACTCCCTGTCGGCTGGACGCAGAACACGGAGTGACCACACAGAGCCTGGGGCACGCGCCCCCGCGAGTGACCACACAGAGCCTGGGCACGCGCCCCCGCGGCCTCGCTCTCAGTGCCCAACGCCTCCCACACGGAGAGCTCTCCAAGCCACAGGGCCAGCTGGGGGCACTGGACACAGACGAGAGGCTGCAGAAGGTGCACCAGACCCCCAGCTCCGCGCCCTGCCGCCTACGGACACGCCCGGTCCGGGATCTGCCGAGGAAAACCGCACGGCCCGCTGGTTTTACTCAATGGCATTGGACCCCTCACTGTGATCCCTTTCTGATGCTGCTCTCTATGAACAAACGGGTTTTCCTAAACTCATATATTAATTTGACCCAGTTTTCCTGTTCACGTCACTTATTACTCACTCTCCAGTTGTGAATTGCTTTCGTTTGGGTTACGTATTTTCACTCCAAGGGCAAAAAAAGTACAAGTGTACAATGATGCACTGAGAGTATTTAAATCTGACCACAAATAAAAATGGTATTGAAAGTATTATTTTTAACTTATTGAAAAAAAGCTGGAAGAGGATCTCCCCCCTCAAGGCCACCAGGACCCCGTCCATTGAAGGCTACATTTTCCTTAAGGCTGAGTCACACGACCAAGCATTGCACGACAGTTTCCAGGTTCTAAACCCTACCCACACCCAATCAACCTGGATGCCTGGATTTCACTGAGCATCCACCTTACTCCTGCCCTCAGCATCCTTCCCCTTCCACGTGATAGCATCCGTTCCACGTGCTCGGGGGGTGGGGCAGAAAGAAAACGACACTATCAGACTCGGATCTGGTCAGAGACCAGTGAGCGCGAAAGTACTTTAGGACGGTGGAAAACGGCAGGAAATCGACGGGCAGCTTTGGGTACTTGCCTTCGGATCGGGTTTCATCTAGAATCTGAGAAAAGGGCCGTGGGTGAAGACCAACGAGACCTGAGAGGAGACCTCAGCCGCCTCCCGCGCTCTGGAACCCCGGGAGAGACGGGCCAGTGCAGGGGCCCGGAGACACCTGTGATCCCTCACCTAGCCCCAGGTAATCGCGGTGAAGCATGAAGATGAGACGGCCATCTGCTATCGTTTTCATCTCCTTTGAGATGCAGGTTAGATCACTGGGCTGACATTCACTTCTGTTCTCTCGCAGAACACGTTACACTATGGTGGTACCCACTGCTCTCCCAGAGCCGGCAAAACAAACAGCGCTCCTGGTCCCCCACTCAGGAGCCCCAGGACGCCTGGCCTCTGGCCTCTGGGAAGGAGAACTGGGGTACAACCCTTCTCCCTTGCAGAACGGGGCACTTCCCTACGTGTCAGTTATCAAGCAGGAGGCTCACGTAGCTAAGGGCACCAGGTGATGTCACCGTCCCGTTCCAGAACTGGGCTCTAAGCCACAGCTGCGCCCAGATTCCCCAGGGGCTGGGGCTGCACCACAGCCCTGCTACCGTCCATCCCCGCTGGGCAGAGGGCCAGAGGAAGATGGGCCATGAGTGGAGAGTGGCGTCCATCACGGAGCCAGGACCTCAGCACAGGGCCGGGGGACCCCACGCCCCTACGCCCCCCGGCCGCCAGCAAACCCAGCTTTACCTCCCAGCATCCTCTTGGGCGGGAGGGCCGGCACCATGCGGTAGGGGAACTTCTGCAGCAGCATCTCGTGGAAGACCACGAAGTCATTGTACCGTCGATACACGCAGGACTTGAAGCGCTGCAAGAGAAGAGGTTCGGAGCTCCGTAGAAACCCTCACACTTCACGGCTTCCCCTTACCTTCCCCCTCCACCACTAAATAGAACCTGTGGAAATAGCAGGACTAAATTCCTCACCTTCTCTCACCAGGTCTTTACCAGAAGGAGAAATCCTCTATGTCCTTGATGGATGGAAATACAACTTTTAAACACTGCATAGCTCTAACTGTGTATTTAATTAACCGCCTATTATTCTGGATCTTCTGAACAAGATGAGTCTCCTTACAGGAGTTTTCACCTGTATGGCAGCATCCCTTCTCCCCTTAGGTATCACATGGGAATACCTTTGAGGGTATGTCCTCAACATACACTTTCAAACCGTGCTAACACAAGCAGCACTGCGCCTCCTGAAACAGACCCAACTGCCTAAAGGCAGACCAAACGCTGAACACGAAGACTGAAACACGGCAGACACGCAACTCAGATGAAACTGCCGACAGAGTCCACCAAGAGCCCGCCCTTGATAAACCTGCAGCTCCCACAGGATTAGCGTCCCGTCCAGAGAGCAGCCTCATCGGGGTCGCATATAAGAGCTCTCACAAGAGCCAGCATGAGCAGCGACCTCTAAAATTAACTACGTTACACTAGTCACTAATTAACATCGCTGACTGGAAAAAGCCAGTCTGAGATGGTGACATACTGTGTGGCTCCAATGACACGACACTCAGGAAAAGGCAAAGCTACGGAGACGGAGACGGTGAAAGATCAGTGGTGTCTGGGTGGAGGTGGGGGAGGGGTGAAGGGGGCGGAGCACAGGGGACGCTTAGGGCAGTAAAGCTACACTGCGTGATTCTACAACGGTGGACCAAAGCCTGAGGATGTACAATAATAACGAGAGTGACCCCCTCATGTCAGCTGTGGACTCTGGGTGACAAGGACGTGTCTACGCACGTTCATCACCTATAACAAATGCACCATCTGGCGGGGGGCTGACAGTGGGAGGAGGGGAAGATGGGAAATCTGTTCCTTCAGCTCAATACTGCTGTGAACCTAAAAACACCCCCCCAAAAACAAAAAGCTAAATATACTACACGAAGGACACGTATGAAGCCACGTGTGTCCACCTCCGGCGGGCGTCGTGCCACGTCTGCACTCACTCCAACTCCAGCAAGCATGCAGGCAGGGGGCACAGCCCGAGGAGCCCCAGGGCCCAGGAGCCACCCCCGCGGTCCTAACATTAGCGGGCCGACCCCTCCACGCACGTTGCAGGAGGTGACCTGGGCAAAACGGCCTCGTTCTAAAAATGTTCGTTACGAGGTCATCAATTTACTTCAGGAGCAGGCAGTTTAATGAGACTGAAGATAAGGCCACTCTCACAGAAGAGCAGCTTGTCACACGTGCGGGGCGCCCGGCCCGTGGGCGACGAGGCCCCAGAGGAGGCGCCGGGGCCTCCTTTCTCACCATGGCCGAGGAGGCCAGACCGCGGCAATGCCGGACGGCAACGCTGTCCCCGAAACACGCGAGGGCCTCCTTCCCTCTCTGCCCTCTGCCCTCCCCCTTGGCAGTGGCACCGACCAGCGTCAGAGAGGAGTTTACTCCCAGACTTCTGTCACCCTGCCTTTAAAACACAACGAAACAAAAATGCTGCGATTCTTGATTCTCAGGGAACACGGCAAACAGCGTCCGCGATGGGGAACGTCCCGGGTTCTGAACACGCGCCTTCCTCCCTGCGATGACGGTCGTGATGCTTTCCCAGCCTGCAGCGCTGCTGCCTGAGCCTGTGACCCGGACAGCTCTCCGTGGCAGGGGCAGCCCTGACCCTGCGAATCTGCCCCCCGCCACACACGCATGGGTGCTCTTAGCTCGCCCGATGACTTAATCCCCAGGATAAAGAATAAAAGCTCCCATCAAAACGTATCCTAACTGAACCGAGATAACAGGTGAACGGACAAAAAGATAAACGCTGCAGATGCCACAGGGTTCTATGCGCCCAGCCAGCCCCGGGGCCAGGCGTCTGGCATCAGTGAACTCTGATTTCAGGGGTGCCCCTAACAGAGACAGCAGCACCATTTGGGGGATGAGCCCCACACACTTGACTCGGGGTGTGGAGCCCACATTCTGTGGGGTCCACACTCTCACCCTCGGGGACATCCCAGCACTGCAGGACCACCTTAGGCTGGCCCATCCAGGGCTTGCGCTCCAGAGCCCGACCAAGCGTCTCGAGAGGCAGGATACCAGAGCTCCGGCGGCGAGGGCGGGCAGGGCCTCTGGGGGGCGGCCGCAGAGGCAAGCATGCTGGGGGGGCCTGCCTGCCACTGTGGGTCTTCCTGGCGGCCCTCCCCCTCCCCCCACCTCTGCCCCCCACTGCATGCCGCAGGTACCTGGCTGGAAACCTCATACTCCACGTGCTTGAGGAAGAGGCCCTTCTTCTCGGGGATGAGCTCCACCTGCACGGCGTCCCTGGCCAGCAGCTCCTGCAGCGTGAGCGACAACAGCAGTGGGTTCCCCGGCGGCATCTGCATCCGACTGGAGTCCGGTGCCCTCGGCTCGCTGACCTGGGGCGCTGTTGAGTCTGCAGGAGACAAGGTGAGCGCAGCTGCTCAGACAGGGAGGCCACCCCTCAGATGCCGCCTGCTGGCTCAGCACGTGGACTCCGGCCACATCACCCAGCCAAACCCCGTCCTGGCCCCGGTGACGCTCATTCATCCAGCCTGGGGGGTCCACTCAGGGCCACGTCCTCCTCTCACATAAACCACCACGCCATGAATCAGCAAACACGCCCACATGTCCAGGACCGGGCAAGTCTAGTTTTCAACTTGGGCAGAGAAAAAGAAGTGAAATATTTACAAGTTATGTGCAAAAATAGAGTCCTCCTTTTCTCCAGAGTCAAGAAAAGGGTTAAAACAGAGAAATGGGCCATACGATCTTGTACATGTGCCGGCATTTCCAGAATCAGAGCACACTGCGTTCCTGCCACCACAATCATTCTAATGTGTAAAAACCTGCATGCTTGCTTGAGCTAGAGTTCCCGCTCACACAAATCAAAGCATTAAGCCCTAAAACTTCAGCTCGTTAGACACAAGAAGTCACCCACGTATCACTCACAGGACAGGGAAAGACAAATCAGAGATTTTATACCTAACAACCTGCCAACAAACAAAGAAATCCTGTTGAAAGGTCAGTTTGGTTTTTAGTACAGAGAAGAGTTTAGAACTTTAAAGAAAAAAAGGTTCTTTTCAGTTAAAAAAAGAAGATTAAGGTATCCCTTGGGGGAAAAAGGTCTCATTCCAAGTAACACTGCTATGAACAAATAGAACAAAGGGTAGATCACATTTCTCCACCTTCTCAATTTTCTACAACGTCACTGTATCACTTTTTATGATTTACTTCTTAAAGTAATTCTTCAGTGCAAGATTCTGGTTTACATTCTAATACAGAATTAATGACCAGATTACTTTCATCTGTGAAATCACTCAGCATTTTAGGATTTAAAATATAGCTGCCTTGGGCTTCCCTGGTGGCGCAGTGGTTGAGAGTCTGCCTGCCGATGCAGGGGACACGGGTTCGTGCCCCGGTCCGGGAAGATCCCACATGCCACAGAGCAGCTGGGCCCGTGAGCCACGGCCGCTGAGCCCGCGCGTCCGGAGCCTGTGCTCCGCAACGGGAGAGGCCACAGCAGTGAGAGGCCCGCGTACCGCAAAAAAATAATGACAATAATAAAAAATAAAATAAAATAAAATATAGCTGCCTTGAACTGACCTTAAAGATTAAGAAAATAAACAAGGGCTTAACTTGTATCTGGGAACCCCCAAGGGCCTCAAAACGCCATACAAAAACTAAATGTCGGGCTTCCCTGGTGGCGCAGTGGTTAAGAATCCGCCTGCCGGTGCAGGGGACAAGGGATCGAGCCCTAGTCCAGGAGGATCCCACATGCCACGGAGCAACTAAGCCTGTGCACCACAACAATTTAGCCTGAGCTCTAGAGCCCCTGAGCCACAACTACTGAGCCCACGTGCCACAACCACTGAAGCCCACGTGCCTAGAGCCCTATGCTCCACAACGAAGAGTAGCCCCGGCTCGCCGCAACTAGAGAAAGCCCACACACAGCAATGAAAACCCAACGCAGCCAAAAATAAATTAAAAAAAAAAAAAAACCACTAAATGTCATGTGCTCTAAAGCAGGCTGCTCTCGAGTGAGGGCATATACCCCAGGGTCGCAACAATCCACCAAGTGCAGGAAGAAAGTATTAGCAACTCTACTTGTATTTTCTTTATTTTTTTTAATTTTTTCATTGCACTTGTATTTTCTATCTCTTCCTTTTTAATTTATATTATAATATACATAAGAGTAGTAGAGTGTAGTACATGCATACAAATTATTAAAATATGCATATGTATAAATTGTGTACACGTGTATAAGTGTGCGTACAGGTGTTGCATGTGGGTGTGTGTGTACGAGTGCATGTGTACGTGTGTATGAGTTTGAGTATGAGGTGTGTGTATATGTTTAAGTGTGTATGTGTACATGTGTGCACACACACGTATGAGTGTGTGTACATAAGTGTCTGTATATGAAGTGTGTATATGAGGGGGGGGGTGTCCCCAACTGGCAGTCCCCAATACCTTAATGACTAAAAATGTGTGGAGACCACAGCTCTAGAATGTACCTGTTCTCCGAAGTCATCCCAAGAGCCCAGCCCCTTTCCATGTAAAAATATTTTTACATGGAAAGGGGCCTTAAAACTGTGTTTACCCAGTCTCCTTGGGGACCACGGAAATCCTCAAGGAGCCAACAAGCGTTTCTTAAGTACCAGCTCCAGCGAACACGGTGATGAATAAGACAGGGTCCCTGAGCTCATTAATTCATCCACACAGAACACAGCTGTGTCCACCATTGCCAGGCACAATCTATAAATATCCAAACTCCGGGGAGAGTGGGAATCAGCCCACGATAAACCTAACAGCGCCCTGAGACTCAGGACACAGCCCCAGGGTGCAAACTCCGGAAGGGCCGGGATCTGCTCGGCTCTGTTCTCAGGTATGTCCTGGCGAGGGGAGCCTGGCACACGACGGGGGCTCAAGGAATGTTTGCTGAGTGACTGTTTACTGTTGTTTATTGTATCTCCAGGAGGGAAATACAGAGCACCTCTGGGGAAAAGCAAAATCTTAACTAGAGCACAGAATATGTGGAAAAACAGGAGACAATAAAGCTAAAAAGGTGATGGGGGAGAATATTTTTATCAGAGAAAATATGTGCATATCATACATCTGATAAAGGACTTATATCTGGAATATACAAAGAACTTACAACTCAGTAAAGACACAGACAAATAATCCAAGTTAAAAATGGGCAAAGGGTTTACATAGACGTTTCTCCAAAGATGTACAAATGGCCAGGAAGTACAGAAAAAAATGCTCGACATCACTAACCGCCATGGAAATGCAAATCACAGCCACACTAAGATGATGCCCTACGTTGACTCCCATTAAAAGAACAACAAAAAAAAGATTACACTGAGTGCTGGTGAGGATGCGGAAAACCCTCACATATGCTGGCAGGTGTGCAAATGGTGCAGCTGCCTTCAGAAACGGTCTAGCAGTTCCTCAGAATGTTAGAAATAGAGTTACTCTATGACCCAGCAACTCCACTCCTAGGTATACACTCAGGAGGAATGAACATGTGTGTCCACACGAAGACCTGTATACAAATGTCCCCAGCAGCATGATTCATAAGAGCCAAAGAGAGGAAAAACCCAAACGTCCATCAATTGATGAATGGATAAATAAAACTAGTCTATGCACACAATGGAATATTATTCAGCCATGAAAGTGGAACATTATTCAGCATGTACAGATTCATGCTACACCATGGATGAACCTTGAAAACATGATAGTAAGTGAAAAGCAGCCAGTCGTAAAAGACCACTATGGGATGATTCCATCTACATGAAATATCCGGAAGAGGCAAAAAATCGACTATGGCGATGGTTGCACAACTGTAAATATACTAAAGACCACCGTATTACATCCTTCAAATGAGAAAACTGCCTGGCACGTACATGATATCTCTATAAAGTCTTTAAGTATAAAAGGTAGGTGACATCAATAAGAAAGGCAGAGAAGGGCCTCCAAAAATACTGTCCTCCACAAAAGCAACGAGGACACTAGCAAAATCGTCAGAAATCAGCTTTTTCAGAACACTGGGAAGTGACTAAAGCTTTGTGGCAATCCAGGGTACACTTACTGATGCAATAATTAGTTAAGTCAAAATGAGGTCAGAGTGGAGTGGGGTGGGCCTTCACCCAATATGACTGGAGTTTTTATAAGACGAAGAGACCACGTGAAGACACAGACACATGGACACACAGACAGGAGGCCACATGACGGCACAGGCAGAGGCTGAGGAGCTGCACATGCAGACCCAGGAACGCCCAGGATGGCTGGCCACCGCCAGGAGCTAGAAGAGGCGGGAAGAACCCACCCCAACAGGTTTCAGAGGGAGCATGACCCTGCTGACACCTTGATTTCAAACTTCTAGCCTCCACAACTGTGGGACAAGATATCTCTGTTGTTTTAAGCCACCCACTCTGCGGTGCTTCCTTACAGCAGCCCCAGGACACTCACACTGTAAACTTTACAGAATTAGCTCAGAAAGGCTGTTAAATAAACAAAAGCTACAACAAAGAGCAACAACACCTTGGAGGGAAACTGATTTCCAGAGGTGCTACATTTTTTTTTTTCTAACTCATTTATTTTGGGGCTGCACTGGGTCTTCGTCGCTGCGCACGGGCTTTCTCTAGTTGCAGCGAGCTGGGGCTACTCTTCGCTGCAGTGGGCAGGCTTCTCATTGTGGTGGCTTCTCTTGTTGTGGAGCACGGGCTCTAGGCACGTGGGCTTCAGTAGTTGTGGCACGCGGACTCAGTAGTTGTGGCTCGTGGGCTCAGTAGTTGTGGTGCACGGGCTCTAGAGCGCAGGCTCAGCAGTTGTGACACACGGGCTTAGCCGCTCCGCTGCACGTGGGATCTTCCTGGACCAGGGTTTGAACCCGTGTCCCCCGCACTGGCAGGCAGATTCTCAACCACTGCACCACCAGGGAAGTCCCAGCTACATTATTTAAATTGTCCAGTCTTCAACAAAAGTCTCTAAGACATGCAAAGAAACAAGAAGGTAGTACCAAAGGGTGTGGGGGGGGACACACACACAACAGAAACGGTCCTTGAAAAAGCCTAGGTACTGAACCTATTAAAGACCTTAAATCAGCTATTTGAAATACATTCAAAGGACTAAAGGGAACCATCTCTAAAGAACTAAGGGAAAGTAGGAGAACAACACCTCACTCACAGGGAATATCAATAAACAGACAGAAATTATAAAAAAAAAGAAACAGATAAAAATTCTGGAGCTGAAAAGTTCAATAACTGAAAAATTCACCAGAGTCACAACAGCAGATCTGAGTGAGCAGAAAGAACCAGCAAAGCTGAGGTTATAGGTCAACTGAGATTTGTTTTCCAGAGTCTGATGGACAGAAAGGAAAAAGGACGCCGAAAAACGAACCGCTCCTCAGAGACGTGT